ACTCTCTGATGAACTAACACTAATCACAGCTAACTCAGATGTTGCTGATTTAATTGCTGTAGTGATATTTCCCTGGCTGGTGGCTTTGACCACATCATCTCTTGCTTTTGATCCTGCATTTGGCTCCTAGGCCCCAAGCTCTACTTTTTTTTTTTTTTTCTTTCTTTAAAATCTTCTACGCTGTTAGGTAGTGGGTTAAAAAGTTCTCCATGTGCACAAAGGAAGGCAGAGGAACAATGGTAGGTGGAGGAGCCTGAAAATACCCTCTCTGGCTGCCCCCAAATCCACCACAGGAGCTCTCAGCACTTCAGCGATCCATCTCTGCACACGTGAAGGATCACAGAGGCAGGAGGGGGAGCCCCGGCAATCCCATCAGAGGCACATCCCTTCCCAGGGAGTCCCAGTACCTGACAGACAGGGGGATCACCACTGGTGTGGGGCACAGTGTGGAATGCAAGGGAAGAGGATTTTAAGGTTGTACAAAACCCACTATGGGATATTCAGGGGACGAGCCAAAGGTGCGGAGAAAAGAGGCAGTAACATGTAAAGAGGGCTGGTAAGTTTGCTTATCTGCCCATGCCCTGCACCTGCTGAAGGCAGTTCTTTATGTATTTAAAAAGTAATTCTTCAAAAATATTTTTAAAATAATTTAAAATTTATTTTAAAACATTACAAAAAATGTATACTGAAGGTGTAAACTGTGAAAGGGAATATTGTGGGTAATTTAGGTGTATATAAGTCTCTGGTAAGAAAGAGATTGGTTTGATAGTAATGAAAGAAATGGCTTTAAAGATCACATGTGCATGACTAGGGCTTCATCATTTTCTTTATCCTTTGCTCTCAAACAAAATTATTTTAAGTCCTGATGCCACTGACCAGAGCATCTTTAAATTTACTATCCTACGCTGCACTGCTAGAGACTGCTCTCAAATGCCTAGCTGAGGGAGAGACATGAAACCCTAATTTGCTGTTTAATGATTTCTAGGAGGTGAGAAGGATTCTAGGAATAACTGCAGTTTTCCTCAAGGACAGATCAAGATAGTGTCTGCTTTGTGGTTGATGAGAAATGCTGTCTCATGTTTAATTATATAGTTCTTTGTCATTAAACTCATAAACTAGATGTTTTCTAGTCCTTTCCTCATGTAGTTTTAGTCTCTGACAATTGTTCTGTATCTGCATGTGTCTGTAAAAATGTGAATTTGCCATTTTGAATTTGATCAGAACATTGAGCCAAAACAAATTCCATGTAATAGTGATATACAAAAAATGGCTCTGGCACTGCATGGAAATTTCCAGTCTCATGTGGCTATACCCTCTCTTATCAGATTTCCAAAGTTAAAAAGAAACACAAAGAGAAAAAATTTAAAGAAACATGAGAACTTTTCCTCCAGTTATAAAGTTAGTGGGACAGTTCATTGGGAAACTCAGCATTAGGGATAGGGTCAGAACAGGAACCAGCTCTGGAGTCAGTTTTATTGGAAGACTTGTCTTCCAATGAAGGTTAGGCAACATGAAAACCAGAGTTGAAACTCCCAGAAGTGGCCCAAGGCTGCACCTCCAGACAAGGTCTTGCCAAGAGACCCTGGGTCACAAAGAAGCAGCCCTGGGTTCTGTCTTATGCATAAAGCTTGATTCTTGTCTACTGAGAGCACTGGCTCCACAGTTACACAGCTATCTCTTTGCCTGTGTGGTCTTCCCATTCCTCACTTTCTGAAGGGAGATGATCTTTGATGACTTCTTCCTTGCTCTGAAGGTATTGCAAGTCTGCCCAGCTGTCCCTTAGGACCTCAGCTGCTGCCTGCAGCTGCAGTAGGATACTGGCCTTTCGGCAGTCAGTGGAGGGCTGAAATGACACAGGAAGATGCATCAACGACCGAAAAATTCCAGGTCAGAATGGTCATGCCTTCCCCCGCATCCTGAGCAGCACGACATTTGGAAAAGCTTGAAAGCCTTCCCTGGGTACAGTCTCATACTCATGCTGAGGTTTGGGGCATGGCATCAGAGAGAAGAGGCAGCATAGATAGCGGAAGGTGGTGACATATTTAATCGGTCAAGGAAACAATGTAAAAGAGGAGGGCAATTTTAACTTACATATGCTCAGAAGACTCATAACCTACTCTGCCAGCTGGGGCATCTTGCCACACACATACCCTTGAAACTCTTTGTGAAGAATGGAGCCCATCATAGCTGCCACATCCCTGCTGATGGTCTGAGCTGCAGACACACAGAAGGGAGAAACTTGCTCCAACTAAACCTCACTGAAGTCAGTATCCCCCAAACACAAACTGCCTGAGCCCAGGGGCTCAGTTTTTCCTCCCTCTGGAGGAAAATGACTTGCTCAACTGGATAAGAAGCATTTCTCTTCTTTAGCACCTACAACCTTTCTGACTGAAGGGCCACTGAGATCCAGATGGTTCTCAGGAGGAACTCTCCAGGCCCACCTGGTGGGACAGGTGGAAAGGTGTGATCAACACACCTAGCACTTCAATGCTCTTTAGCAGCACCTTCCAGCTCCCTCTCCAGGCACGTCTGACCTGTCATTGTTGCACATAGGTGGGTGAACCCAGCATCACAGCTACTGCTGAGGGTCAACAGAAACAGCAACTCACCACTCTTTCACAGTCCAGCCAGTTTCTGACCACATTTCAGACCACACAGCAGAACGAAGAGTAAATCTTGCCACAAAATTCATCTTCCCCTATTTGAGGGAAGGAACGTTTTTTTCCAACCTTGGAAGCCAAGATTTACATCTATTGATCACTCTTACAGAACTGTATCAAAAGATGGGGGCGAAGGGAGGTGCCTATGTAAAGTAAGTACGAGGGGGAGTATCTTGTAGTCTCATCCAGATCTGTCTCAAATGGTAGACCCATGCTTATCAGCATTCAACCCTGAACTAGATTTGGATTTGAGGGCATGTGTGAGGTGTTTTTAAATTCCTCCTTTGAAATACTAAGTTATTGCTCTTCTCCATCTTCTTTTCCTGGTTCCCTTTAGGTAACTCCTTTATACATATATAAATGCTATATATATTGCATATATCACATATATTGGTTCCTAATGACCATTAAAGAGCAAATGGGACACCCATTTTCAAGGGCAAGAAGAAGGATCTAGGAAACTACAGAGCAGGCTCCATGAAGACTACAGAGCAGATGGTGCGATTCTTGGGGTTGTCCTGTGCAGGATCAGGAGCTGGACTTGACGATCATTGTGGGTCCCTTCCAACTCAGGATATTCTATGATTCCATATTCAAGCTTATGGGGGTCAAAGAATAGCTGAAAGCACTACCTGATCCTGGCAGCACTGCCAACCTGAAAAAAAAGGACTCATAATTCTCAAAATATTTTTAGTCTTTCTAAAAGATGTAAGTATTTAAGCACTGTTACCTTTTGGCGTAGTGTGATTTAATGTCGAAGTTAAAGATCTTGTGCTATAGAGTATGAAGGTCACAACTTTGTCTTTGCCAGCTGACATAAGACTCTCTTCTTTCTTTTTCTTTGCCTTGTATTCAAAGTCTGGCTTATGTGTCAGCTGGCTACTATATCCTAATAGTATCAGTCAGTTCATAATACAGGAGAAGGAAATTATAGGGCAGTAGTTTTTTTATGATTTGGGGGGTTGTTTGTTTCTTTCTTTCTTTTTTTGGCTTTCTCATTTGGACAGTTAAGTAGGGGCACTGGATGAAAATAAACAGCATCGTCCTACTGTCTTCATACAGATACATTGCATATTATGATGTCTGCCTGTAGAACTAAAAGTGTTTTGTCCTTACTTTAATAAGTATGCCTAAATTACAGAGATTGTTGTACTATGTCAAACAGGACTTGTCATAGGAGAACACAAGTTCCCATAGGGATGGCCAAAAACTCTGAACAAAGTAACTAAGTGTGAATGTTCAGCGTGGAGAAAAGAGAGACCTACGGAGCTATGGAGAGACTTAATTGCAGCCTTGCAGTCCTTAAAAGGGACACATAAAAAAGAGGAAGAGTGACTTTTTTACATGGGCAAATAGTTACAGGACAAGGGTGAATGGTTTTAAACTAAAAGAGGAGAGCCCAAAGAAGCTGTGGATGCCCCATCCCTGGAAGTGTTCAAGGCCAGGATGGATGGGGCCCTGAGCAATCAAAACTAGTGGTTGATATCTCTGCTCTAGGGGATTTGGAACTAGATGATCTTTAAGTTCCCTTCCAACACAATCCTTTCTATGATTTGATTTTGTCCAAGAATGAGGACAAAGGCTGTTTATTGATTCACAGTTTATTTCTGTGGTTGAGTATGGCTCACAGGGTTACGCGGTCCAGGTACTGATGTCCCATTAAGGAGGACAACATACAGAGCCAGTCCAAAATCAAAGGTGGTTTGCTGTCCAGGATGAGAGAAGCAGAAGTAGTTCAGCATCAGCCTTCCTTCTCATTTTCTTCAGCCCTGTCCCCACCTCTGGGTCATGGCTTTTTGCACTGGTGCCTGGGGCAAAGGGGCTGCAGGCACCAGAGTATGGCTGGTGCAGGAGCCATCCAAGGCTCCACTTCAGTGCCCCGGACAGTTTAGGGACCTTGTTCCTAAGAAAGCAACTCTGCGGTCACAGGTGAGCCAGGTCACATTAGGTGTGGGACTGTTCCAGGGCGGGTCTGGGACACGCCCTCTTGAACAGCCCTGTAATTATAGGATTTCAGCCTGGCACCGCGGGTACCCACTTGAGCGAAACGCGGGCTTTGCCCCACGGAACCCGCCGTCGGGACTCCAACCACCCCTGTGCTGTCGCTGGCACTTTGTATTTCCCGTTTCCCGGGGCAGAGGGCGCCGCCGGCCCCCGGAAAGCGCGGCGGGGCCGGGCAGGGCCCCGTTGCGATGGCGACGGGGGTTGCTGCGGGCTGACGGGGAGCTGTGGCGGTGGGGGCGGTGCGGGAGGGCTCGGGCACGGGGCGGCAGGGGCGGCAGGGCCGGCGGGGGGTGGGAGGGGGGGATCCGGCACAGGGTGACAGTGCCGGTGGGGTCTGGGGGCTTTGGGGAGGGAGAGGTGGCCCAGCTTTGCCCGCTGATGTGCCTGCTGGTGAAGGGGGTTGTGGGGAATACGTACGAGGGAAGGGTGGGCTCGGAGCGGAGTTGTTAGTGTACTCTGGAGACTGGGAAGCGGATACAGTGTGACTGCGGCGTGTCGCAGCGTGACTGAGGTAATTAATTCGCCGGATTCTGCTCCTGGGATGTGGATGTACCTACAGGCTGGGGAAAAAGAGGCTGGAGAGCAGCCCCATGGAAGGAACCTGGGGGTCCTGGTCGATGGCAAGTTGAATACGAGTCAGCAGTGCCCTGGCAGCGAGGAGGGCCGACCGAGTCCTGGGGGACATCAGCCAAGGCATCACCAGCCAGCTGAGGGAGGGGATTGTCCCACTCTGCTCTGCACTGGGGCAGCCTCAGTTTTGGGTGCCACAACGTAAAAAAGACAGTAAGCCATTAGAGAGTGTCCAAGGGAGAGCCGCAAGACTGGTGAAGGGCCTTGAAGGGAAGCCATGTGAGGAGTGACTGAGGTCACTTGGTCTGTTCAACCTGGAGAAAAGGAGACTGAGGGCAGACCTCACTGCAGGTCTCATGTACAACTTCCTCGTGAGGGAAGAGGAGGGGCAGGCACTGATATCTTCTTTGTGGTGACCAGGGACAGGACCCACAGGAATGACCTCAAGTAGTGTCAGGAGAAATTTAGGTTGGATATTAGGAGAAGGTTCCTCACCCAGAGAGTGGCTGGGCACTGGAACAGGCTCCCCCGAGAAGTGGTCACAGCACCAAGCCTGCCAGACTTCAAGAAGTGTTTGGACAGTGCTCTCAGGCACATGGTGTGACTCTTGGGATTGTCCCGTGCAGGGCTACAAGTTGGACTCAATGATCCTTGTGGGTCCCTTCCAACACAGGATATTTTATGATTCTATGATTGATGGGGACTGTGGGAGTGGAGGCTACTGGCAGTGCAGCTGCTTGGCATACAGAGATATAGTGTGAGTGGCACCGATGATAGTGATTGAGCTCATGAGAGTGGTGAACTGCCACACAGGTGGTCTCTGCAAAGAGTGTCTAGAAAGTCACAGTATCTGGGTTGCAGTGTCAGGAAACTGCCTGTTTCTTCTACGGATGCAATGGCATTGTAGTTATTGATTGAGAAAGTGGTGGTAGTGATAATGGGGGTTTGTGAAGAGTTATGCCTCATTATATATTTGTTTGGGAGAAGTAATAGATCTTTCCTTCTGCAAAAGTGTTCCTACTGGTTTAAAATGTGCAGTCAATTCTCAGTCTCCCTAAATATATTCCGCTCTCTCTCACATGTGTGTGTTTTCTATGGTTTGCAAAATCCAGAAAATCCCTTATTGTAGTATGGGGAGATTTTACCTCCAAGAAAGCTTGGAGGCTTTCTTGTTGATCCCTGCTTGGGAAGAATTTAATAAATATATCACTGGAGGTCATCGGTGCCTGGAGCTGAAAAAAAAAAAAAAAGCCCTAAACCTTTTCAAAATAACACTGCTCAAAATTTTGCATTTGTAGCCAGTTTTAAGCACGGGACCTGATTATCCATTTAGAGAAAGGGACAGAAATAAAAAACAAAACCAAACCAAACAACCAAACAAAAAACCAAACAAAATAACCAAAAAACCAAACTTAGGGATTGCTCTGGTGACCTTCTATTTCTGAGGAAAATCAGTAAAATAAGCGGTCAAGCGAAAATGGAATCAATGCAAATCCAGTCAATTCTGCACTGAAGAACTATGACAGATTCTTTGTTACACTTAACAAGTGTAACCTGTACTTGTGCATTTGGGCTGGAAATTCCAAGGGGGTCTAGGAGGAGCAAAGTACCTTATTTCCCACCTTAGTGACATTTTTTTCTTAATTCACTTGTTTGTTTTTTTTTTTAATCTCAGTCTTACAACAGCTATGTGCTTAGGATTTTTAAAAGTTTCGTGAAAAAATATTGTTTTGAATAGGAAACGGCAAGGGTTGTATGTGAAATAGGATAGAAAGTTATTTTTTTTACCGAATGCTGACCTTGCCTTGCTGTAGGGTATGGTGAGTGAGGTGAGAAGGCACGGGCCTGTATGTGGATTACAGTGCCTCTGTCGATAGTTAACTTCATTTTACAGGCTTCTTTATGTGGCTTTCCACTGATATTTTCCTGTTTACTTTTGCTCATTTTGATAGCAAAAATGTATCCAGCTTGCTTTGTTTAGTCATGGAACAAGTTATTATCAATTTCAGCTATTATTGTCAGAATTCAGAAAAGCAGTTTAATATGAAGACAGTTTATATATAATCTTTCTACTCATTCAGTAATAAATCCTCCCATATTATGTAAACAGTTCTGGTTCATTTGATTATGTGACTGCTAAAAGTGAGGTATTTTCATAAATGCCCCTTTCTTGTGACTTTTTAATTTTATTTTATATAATATATGATATTAGTTCCATTACAGAATTATTCATTGACAGTTGAATTCTGAGGTTGGTAGTTGTGACAACGTGCCCAGGGAACACTACTGACATGCATATCCCTTCAGAAAGTGGTTTTGTTCCAGCTCTGACAATAAAAACTGGTATCAGAGTTGCAGTGAAAGGGAAATATTTACAGTGCTAGGAGATAAGAAGGAGAGAGAAAGAGATGCATATTACCAAGTGGACTTGATAAAAAAAGGCTGATAAAGAAGGAAAGGACTAGAAAAAAACACCTGCTGATTTGATTTGCAAGAATCTAAAACCCAGCCTGCAGCAAGGGATACAATGAGTAACTAGTGATAAAGTACTCTGAATCTACTCAGAACTTCAGGTTGCCCCAAAAACACTGAGTGCTATGCTGGGCAGGATTATTGCTGTCAAAAACCCAACTAGTTTTGTTTATTTCAGAACTGTTAGAAACTTGTCACAAGTGACAAAGGCCAGTGAATATATGACATTCTATACATTCATCTGTGTCTTTTTTTTCTTTCACTTCTAGCACAAGTACAACCAGAAAAATGGAAGAGAACAAGAAAGGGGAGAAGCCAGGAAAGCAAGTTACAGAACCTGAATCAGATATACCAGAAGCCATACTAGAACTTCAGTAGGTTTAATAAATTTTAACTTTTCACTTATATAGAATATGTGAATGAAGGAAGCAGATGACAAGGACACCTTATTCATTTTAGGGCCTGAGCTGATTTTTTGGGGGTTTTCAAGGTTATTTCAGAAAGGTACACTTTTTAAACTGTAGCTGTAAGGAATCATTTAGATGTGTCAGAAATAATCTTATGCCATTAGGCTGTAACTTGTGAAAAAATGTTTTATTATAAACAAAAAAAGAGAAGCAGCATTTTTTCTGCTAGAAGCAAGCTTTTGATCAGCATAGACTGAAGTTGCAAGATTACATTTGACTGTATTCTTTAGAATTCTTTGGTGTTCATGGAGGTTTTTTGTCCCCAGCCAGAACTTCGACCTGAAGTTTACTCTCTTCCTTGGTGCAGCTGAGAGCAGAGCACAAAGCGTTTTATTTTGAAAGTAAGAGAGGGATAACTTAAAGGTCTTGAAAAATCAAGCAGAGAAAAATAAGAGCCAAGCAGGAAATATCTGAAGCAGTTGCTAAATAGTCCAATTTATTTGATCTCCAATCTCTTGAGTAGATAATTTAAGGAGAAAAAGTAAGCTCCATGACTTTTATCAGAAATTGAAATAGAAAAGCCTCAGCAACATCCAATATTCAACATTTATCAGCGTTTAGGGAGCAAGAAGTAGTGCCTTGGTGTGGAAGTGAAAAGTGAAGTGAACTGAAGAGCAGCTCTAGTGACATCTACAGGAGTTCACAGGGTTTTTATGTGCTATTTCTGGTTTCAGTTTACACAGAACAGAGTACAATTTTCCACAGTGAAAGATCCCAGATTTAGCTTGATCATATCACAAACATACCATCCAAAAAGTCAACAAACCAACCCATCTATTTCACTAATAAGCAAACTGTATTATTAGGCTGGAAAAAACTGCACCACTTTCTGATAAAATTATTCTTATGCATATTCAAATATCCAAGCAAAAGACTCATTTGTCTGAAGAGTTTTCCACTGAAATGGGTGCTGTGCTAACAAGGAGTGTGTAGTTTCTACAAACAATAGGGAAGAAATGGAAGAAAAGTATTCTTCTTGCTGTTTTTATCTTTCTCCCTCTCCTCTCTTTTCCTTCTTCACTTCTGTAATCTGTAACTTCTCTGTACCACTTGACTGAGCAAAGCAGCATAATCACACATCTGTCACATTCCACTTTAGGATTTGTCAAGTGCTTAGTGTTTATTTAACTTCCATTCCTGTTTTTTCTTTCATACATTGAAGGATGGTCGCTGTTGATACGGAGTTTGTTATTTTGCATTTTCATTACAGTTCTCTGTTTCAGCATTTGTTAGGAACAGCAATCTTATGAATTACTTGCCTTAGTAATATTTTGACATTAGCAAGGCGATGAATATATTAAAGGAAAATCTTAAAGTAGGAGAAAATAAGAGCAGCAATATCCAAAATACAGAAGTGGCTTGAATTGGCTTAAAACAGCAGGTAATTTAGGCAATCGCACTATGTGGCCAAGCTGTCACGTCTGTGACATACTTTTGCTGTAGTCATGACCACCATACCCCCATATCTCTGTTCTCTCTAACTAATATCCTTGTACTTAGAAGAAAACCTGAAAAATACTTTGGAGCACACTGGAACTAGAGGATCTAAATTTAGTAACCTGCAGTTTTCATGATTCAGTGACCCAAACTTAGCAACTTAGCCAGGAAAAGAAAAAAAAAAGAAATTCTTTTAAAACAACTTAATACAATAGGGAGGGGAAAAATAAAAATAAAACAAAGCAAACAAACAAAAACCTGCAACAAAAACAAAATGAAAAACTGAAGGAACAATAACTGTTGAAAGAGTAAAAGATATTGTGATAATTGCAATACTTGCCTCTATTGTGCCACATGGTGAATGAATTCTGGGAACAGAGGGAATGATTACAGAGAATTTTGCAAACAGACATCGTTTGCAGCTTAGTGTTTCTCATTCTAGAAGAGAGAACACCAGAAAGACAGACTTATTTTACAACTGTGGTAAAGAGAATGCCTATGAAAATGTGAAGTCAGGGAGCTAGTTCTTTGATAAAAATATATAAACAGAGCATACTACTCAGGCTGGAGTCCCTATTCCCTTAGTGCTTCTTAAAGGCTAACAAATTCTTGGTGTGCAAATACAGTTTATGAAGCTTGACAAACCACATTTTCAGAAGAATTGAATCCCTTTTAATTCTCCAGTTTGGGATTCATCTGACCTGTATCTGAGTGAGTTGCCCAGGCTTCCTCTATGGATAGTGCTGGGTAATATTTCTGGAACACAATCTTGTCCTAAAAGAGACCTCTGTAATTGGCCAGTTAAGCCACGTGCACAAAGATTTATCCAGTTCAAGCTTCTTCAGAGGTGACAAGGGAACAGTATAACCAGGGAATCTGTATCTCTGTAGAGCACGAAATCCAAACTAAGAAGAAGGTCCAGATGTATATGGGAAATAATTTCTTTATGTGTAGTAAGCAGACAGTGATATCTACCCAAATGAGTCAAGCAATATGATATGAAAATAAACATTTTGGTAGTATTTACATCTAATCCATCTTAAATAGCATTCCTCTCTCTCTTAGTTTTGTAAGAATATCTCTTTCTTTATTCTCTCTTCCCAGAATTGAGACAAAAGAAACAACAATTGATCGGGTTTTGGTTCATCTGGAAGAATTGGAAAATAAGATCATAGAGGATCATAAAAGAGTAAGTGACTGTGCATCCTTCTCCCAACACATTTTATATGTGGTATTTTAACTCACAGATTCAGTTTTATTCTTTCAGTCCTAATACTACATACATTACAACTAGTTATTGGAGTGAATTTGTTACAGTCAATGAAACTAGAGTTAGCGAGTCACTTTATGTGCTAAAAGTAAAGTGTTACCTGAATTAAATGTGACAAAGAGCATAAATATCCTATATTTGACATGTTAAAAAGGAGCTCCAGGAGTAAAATGTCGCAGAATAGGACACAGCAGTAAAGTGAGTTCAGTCAAGGTGTTCAACAACTGCCTACATATTTCATGGAATCACAGAATTGTTAATGATGAGAAAGACCTATAAAATCATTGAATCCAGCTGTTAACTCACCACTGCCATGTTCCTCACTAACACATGTCCACAAGTGCCACATCCACATGTCTTTTGAACACTTCCAGGGCTGGTGATTCCACCGCTTCCCTGGACAGCCTGTTCCAATGTCTGACCACTCTTGCAGTGAAGAATTTTTCCTGATATCCAATCGAAACCTCCCTGGCACAACTTGAGGCCATTTCCTCTTGTCCTGTCACTTGTTACCTGGGAGAAGGGACTGGCTACTCCCACTGGCTACAACCTCCTTTCTGGTATTTGTAGAGAGAGACTAGGTCCCACCCGAGCCTCATTTTCTGCAGGCTAAACACCCTCAGCTCCCTCAGGCCTCTGCACCAGACTTGTGCTCTAGTCCTTTTACCAACTCCACTGCCCTTCTTTGGACATGCCTCTTCCTCTGCCACAAACACAGGACAGCAAACTCCCTTTCAGTAGGTACCTTTCCTGCAGTACATTCAGATATGCCTTTTGACCAGTCCTGCAAATGTTCCTCAGTATTTCAATGCACAAAGAATAAATGGTTTAACTTCATTTTTGTCAGTAGCACTAGCAGACCTAATGAACTACTGAGATTTGCTGACCTCTTTTGATTCACTTCTGAGGTAATGGAATTGCTCAGGTTTCTGTGAGAATCTAGTTATTCATGCAAACTTAGTTACAATAAAAACTGAAGAAAGAAAGAGCATCAGGCAACTGACTAGTTGAGCTGTATATAAATAACCATAGTATGGCATCTGATGACTGTGAGCAGTGAACTTTGAAAGTGGATTATATAGAGGGTCACTTATTGAAATTAATTCAGATTACTCAAAAATCCTTACCCTGGATCATGTTGCAGCCTGCAGATGTTATAGCAGTGAAACAATGTCTCTCTGTCCTTCCCATGCCCAGTGGTTGCCCTGCTTTTATAAGTATCCACGTTTAGCGTTCAGTGGTGCTTCTTTCAGTCTTGAAGCCTGGATGGTGTTTCATTTGTGTCTTAACCATCACTGCGAGTGGCATTTGCTCTTCTTTCTGCAGGCACTTGAAGTCTCTTATGATTACTTCCCCAGTTTACTGCTAGTTCATGGCCTCTGGAGGACTCCTTCATATTTTAGACTGTGCAGGGTACTTAAGGTCATAGTTGAAGCGCTATTTGTTTAATTTACCCATGCTTGGACAGCGCTCTGAGCTCCATTCTTTGTTTCCTGCTTAATGTTTCTGAGTGGTTTAGAGTTAATCCTTCCAGAAGTGAGGAATGCTTGAGACTGTCTCTACTGTAGAGTTAGTTACTGTTGGCTCCTGTATGGTATCCTTTGGGAGCAAACATACACCAGTATCACCTGAGAGGGTCATGGCAAAGGGTCACAGCTGTAGAATCAGAAGGTATAACCAATATAACCGATTTCAGCTCTGACAAGACTCTTTGCTGGGGTTTTATGCAAGCGACCTGATTGTCTCATGAGTTTTCTAGATGAAGGTGGTACATTCACATGAAGAATGTTGAATAGCTCCTACATATAAATATTGTTATTAAATTACTCACAAGCAACTTTCTTTCCAGGCAATGGAGGACTATTGATATACTGCACGGAATATAGCAGTTATTTTTTCCTTCCGATGGTCTTGAAGTTACCAAGGAAACTTCTGAAAACTCTCCCTTCTGCTCTACCCTTTTGAATATGAAGAATAGGTGTTTAGCTGGGTTTCCTTGCATTTCATCTGGCATTAGGCCAGACTTTACTTTTGTTACTTAAGTTTGTCACTTTGAAAACCACTTTGAAAATGTGCTGTTTCTTCTGTTGTTCTTTCTTAGAATGACCACCTGAAGGAAGAACAGCAGGCACTTATCAGGCGCATAATAAAACAAATAGAAGAAAAGGAGAAAAAACGAGATGAAAAGGAGGTTGTAACTAGGAATGATGTGGAAGAGTCACTGAAAGCAATTTTTCAGTATGTGAGGGACAAAGAACAACTTTTTGAAGGTATGTTGTGAATTGGGGAAGTGTGGTTTGCAATCTACGTGGTTGGGATCTTTGTTGTTGTTTTGCATTTAGAGTTTCAACGTACTTGTTACATAAAAAGCATATGTTTTCCTCCCCAAAAATTGGGCTGTCTCAATTTGAAATGAGATTGTGGAGGGCTTAAAAGTAAATCTGTTCCTTCCAAGTGATGTATATTATTGTGCAAGTACGGAGGCTTCCTCTTTTCTGTAAATTTGAAACTTATGAAAACCCTAAGCACTGGCTCCACTGGAAGATTTAAAAAAAAAAAAAAAAATCGATGGCAGGAAAAATGATCAGTTTTGACTGTTGAAAATTCTGGCTGTCACCCCTGTGATTCTCTGTGGGAGACACATGTGTCTTTGGTTACAGTATTTCAGTGAGAACTGTTGTCACTCCCTGGAAGAATAAGATCAAGCTGTTTTCAGCAATGATGGTGGCCCTTCACACTGTGAGCCCATCATGTTGTAATGTACTGTACCGTGGAAGAATCCTCCTTCCTTCTCAAACTCCTGTGAAAGTGCCTTTCTTAAAGAATGTGATGAAGTTGTAAGAATTGTCAGTTCAAGAAGTCAGTAACAAACTTGTCTTTTGACATTCTTATTTTAATAGAACTGCGCTCCCAAATTGAAGAAATTCAGCAAAGAATTTCAGTAAAGCAGCGTGAGAGAGATTATTGGTTGGAGTACAAAAATGTAGGAAGTAAAATACACGCTGACAAGATTAGCAGTTTGGAAAAAGACATTAAGGAAGTTAAAGATGAGCTTCAAAGAACTGCAGGTCAGTTTACAGCTAGTGTAATGCATGTCTTACAGGCTTTTTGCAAATTGCTTGCAGGAATCAAATTATAAATTTAATTTGAGGTTAAGTTCTTGTATCAACTTGTATCAACTTTCCTTAAACAGTGCACATAAGGTGGGCTGTGTAACCCTGAAAAATATAAGGACACTCTTTCTTTCTCTCTATAAAAGTTCCTTTATCAAAGATATTGATAAAGTTTACAGAAATGATGACACTTAAAGATACTGATAAGCTTGTCTTCTGATGATTTTCTTGTAAAATACAGGCAACTCATTTTTAAAACATGTTACTGTGATGGACAGCAGTTTTCTAAAAATAAGTCTACATATATTTAGGTCACCTACACACAGGGCTCCCTTAGCACTCGTACTTGAAAATGTTGACTCTGCTGCTGTTGCTTCTCATCATGTTACAAGGACCTCACATATTGAAAGCTTCTTTGACAGGAAAGTAGCATGAGATCATTCTTGGAACAGTCTTTCCTATGGAGCACACTGGTTTACAAGCAGAACTAGAGGGAGCTCTTTAGCCACTGCTCTGAACTTTGCCTCCTAGTTGCTTAGTCTCCTGTGTGAAGCCCTGCAAAATTGCCAGTGCAGACTTATACAGATACTGGGAATTTTTTCAGTAGCATCACAACAGTGGAATTAATTTGAGAGCTGATATATTCTGAGTGATTATATATGCTGAGTGATTTTTACAAAGAATTCTTTACTACTGCATTATTTTTATATTAATATTTTTATATTAAATATTTTGCTTCTTCATAACCCATGCTTCCAGTGGGAGAAGGATGTCCCGGTTTTCCTCCTTTATGTCTCTCTCAGTATGCATGACCACAGCCAAGCAGCTGGTAGTAACAGGCAGTGACACTGCTCTAAGGGTCTCTCTATATTCTGTGCCAAGCATTACCAGGCATCAACTACTGTGGACAAGAGCCAGCTAGCTATCTTTTTGTCTCTTGAAACATATTTTGCCATGATTAAGATCTGCCCCGTGACTTCTACACTGCCAGATAGCTTGTCAGATACCCATCTCTGTTACAGGAGAGATTGAGTTTTTTCCTTATGCATTTTCTATGTTCTTAATCAGTTTAAAACTTTGCTATATAGATGCTGAAATAAAAAAAACAGAATGGGCTTTTATATAGAATGCCAGAGTGAGCCAGTAGGAACATTTACTCTGGCCTCCTGCATGTCGCAGGGTGCAGAGTCAAAATTTCCTGGTCCAACAGAAGTGCATTTATTGAGAGACTGTTACAGAGGTACATACAGCAGCTGCCTACTTAACACACTGCAAAATGATGCTGCCAGTACTGGATGTTAAGTTTTACTTAATTTCCTAAAACTGAACCTGGAAAGTGTCTGGAGAGTACAGCCCTCCAGCATAAATGTAATAAGCTTTCAGAGCAATGCAGCAACAAATTGGACTTTTTCACACCTCAGATGTGTAACAGGCTTAGGGAATAAGCTTAGCTGAACAGGTTTCTGTCTCTGCATGTACCACTGAAGGGTTTGACACTGGCACAATTTGTGTTGTCTGGCGCTGACATTTTAAACAAAACAGCTGAAGAGGAGAAAAAACAAAAGAGAGCCACACACTTAGGTGAGGTGTGGGGGAAACAGTGTTGCAGTGAGAGATTTGGGAAAAAATAGCCTCCTTAGGAACTGTTCAGACACACTGTTTCTCCTTTTCTTCACTCTCCCAGTACCACTCAGGCTATTTAGCTGTCTGAAAGAATGAAACAGTGAATTAATTATAGTATGGAAGTACTTCCATTTCATTTTGCCAAGTCTAGATGGTGGATTCCAGCTTCCACAGTGTTAAATGAAGAACTAATGCACAACTAATGAACTAATACGCCTTCGGTATTTGACTGCCTTTGACTCCACAGCAGGTCCATGACCAGATATTGATTTACAGCCAGATCAGCAATAGGCTGTCTGCAACACAAGTGCAGAGCAAGGCTGAACTTCAAGCCCCTGCAACAACAAGAAGTGCCTTCCTTTTAAGAAAATTACTGCAATCTCATTCATTCCTTCAAAAGGAGGAAATATCAAGCAGGAGTAGGCTATGTAGGAGAGCAGAAAAAAAACTAAAGGGCTAAAGGGAAGGACAGAATAATTAAAAAGCAAGTGACTACAAGGTGAAGCCAAACAAATTGACTTTGATGTAAAACACTTTCTAAATAATGACCACATGTAATGATACAATAAAAGCAAATCATTGAAGCATTTGCCACACTGTCCATTTTATCCTGTTGTCAAATTAGAACCTTAGAGCCTTAAATAAGTAAGAAAATTTTTTAGGTTCTTTATAATAACTGTCTGGAAAAATGCTATGTGGATAAGATGATCCAATACGCTTCTATACCTAAAAAAAAAGTTTTCTAAGCAAATGTTTCACATCACACTAGGAACTGCTATTGATGAAGACAAAATTTAATGTTTGGATGCCAATGTTTTAGCAGAGGATTGCTCAGCTTACTGCTCAGTTAGCAGTGAATTGCTCAGCTGTTGCAGTTATCAGCAGAAATGTGCAAGCCACTTCTGATTTCTGGTTTTGTAGTCAACACTACTGTCCTTTGGGTTTAGGAAGATAATTTCTGTGGGGAAGGATGTTTGAATCCTTTTCTGTGGGGCATCTACGCGTATGACGCTTGCTGATAAGTTCCAGTTCAGTAACAACATGACAATTATGTATTTGTTGCCAGGAGAAATTGATGTCAAATAATGATTTCTGATTTCCTTTTTTATTGTTTTGAAGAATATTATAGAGATGCTTTGAATGCAGTGAAAGAAGAAAATAAGAGTCTGTTTGACAGGCACTTGAAGTTACTTAGTGAACAGGCTCTTAAGGTATTCCTTCTGCCTTTTTTAAAACTGCTAACTGCATCATAGTTAGGATACACGTACTCTGCGTTTATAACTGTTTTAACTCACATTAAGACTTGAAGCTTTTCTAATAAATTGAGAGTAACAGAAACTGTAAATCTTACTTCATTGTTATACATACATGTACCTTTTTTTTTACATCAGACTAACAATGAGTAGATGTGAGGGCATTTTACAAATGAGGTATGAGGAACTGGGGCACCATGCACTGACATGACTTGTTCAAGAATGTGTTGCTTTTACTGTGACTGATTTTGTCATTTGCATAGACTTCAAAAAACAATAACATGCAGAGGGATTGGCTGCATGAAAATATATGTCAACTTGAAAAAAAAATGTTGTACTTTTAAAGTACAACATTTTTAAAATGCCAAAATAGAGCAGTCTCAGGAAAATTTAGGTTTATCGATACATTAATTTTTTTGGTCATCTCTGCCAGCTCTGATTTGAAAACATGGTATACAAATAATTCTAGTGACAACATCGCACTTGCACAAAACACAAAACATACTTCAGTCTGAATCACTAGGCCCATTATGTGTTTAAATTCCCTGACTTCAGTGCTGGAATTTCCAGTCATGTGAGAACATAATCCAAAGGACTGTGTTTGTGGTGATCTACGGGGGCATCTTCCCTCCCAGTTGCTCCTTTCCACTTACTGACATCAATAATTAAATTGTAGCTTGGGCTCATTAGCACAGACCTGTACATGTTTAGGTCACTTGTCATAGATCAGTACTGCTGCATTTGGGATTTTGCTTGGGATTTTTAGTAGCTAAAGGTTTGATTTTCTGAAAACAGGAAGACTTGACCTATAGTGGGAACACAGAAGAACTTGTTAGGCAAAAAAAAAAGGAGAAATGTCCTATTTTAATATGGGAAATTATAAAATATTGGTAAACTGCTTGACATATAATCTGCTCTAGGCAGGATGATGGAGAAGAAACATCTGGCCTTATGAACTAAATCCCCTTGTAATCCCTCAGGGGATGCTACAGTCTGTTGTGTGGATGTTTCTTAATTATTTCCTGCTAAAGACCAGAAGGTTCTCCTTTATAGTCTGCAGGACTGTCAAAATTCCGCTCTCAGATGAGATGATCTTAAACTGTGTTTTCTCAGAGTGCTGTGGGATACTTAGACAAAAACTGTCGCAGAGAAATTCAAGAGAATGAATGGCTAAAAGAAGAGGTAAGAGGATCACTTGCCTACAGTTTATTATGGTAGTTCATGTTTTAAATGCCGTGGCCTACAGCCATAACTGTTTCCAGTGATGGGCCTCTGAAGAATTCCAAAAGAAAAGGAGAGCAGTTTTCCAGTAATTAATCTGTAATCCTGAGCAGCAAACATATAAGTGTAATGTGGTGAACAAAAGTAAACCGTGAACATCTGCTTTCACAAATGAAGGACCCCTTTTCCTGCCTAAGCAGTTATGTGAAGGACTACCATGTTCCATACAAGTAAGTGTTTACATCTGTGAAGACTGGGATGCTATTTAGTGGGAAGGCTCAACTATGTAAGTATCTGAAGAGTGAAGTTTTGAATTGCATTAAAGTTCTAGTGTTGCTGTATTGAAAGAAAATGGATATGGATGTTGGAAATGTGTTTTGAGAAATGGCTTGAGACAACTTTAAATGGAAGGTAATAAAGAAACCATGGGGGCTACACGCTGAAGAGAGGAAAATCAAAATCGTATATAGTTGTAATTGATTACTTGATAGCTTTTATACTGTCCTTTAATGGCAATTTACAGCTATATATTAGATACCTGTAACTTTTCTTGTCAAGAAAAGACTTTTTTTGTGAGCCAGATTTAGAAAACTAATTTTTCCATGGTGAGAGTTTGATTGTGTTTGCTCCAGTCAATACAGGTTCTTTGTTGCAATCAAATCTAAGCATGAAATTGGTGGGTAAAATGCCCTTCCCCACCTTTACAGTCTCACAAGTTTAGAACTGAGCAGAACTTTTGGGGAAGTTAATAAATGAACTTCTTATTTTTCCATGCCACATCAACAAACCTGGCAGAGGTTTCTACATTTTACTTACTAGTTTAAGATACATGCCAGTATGCAGGGATACAGCTTTCCTTCTTCCCCTTAATGAGCCCTGAGCATGCATCTTTTACTTTCCAGGGCAGGTGTCCAAACCACAGCTTATGAAGCAATGAGGATGGGGGTCAATGGGAAAGAATTAGTGTTTTATTCTGTATAAACAAATAGAAGCTCAAATCTATACATCCTGTCACTGAATGAGTATGAATTATCTTCCCATCTCCCTGTGTCACTGAACACTGATGACTTTCACACACATTAGACAGTGTCAACAAGACAGATCCCCTTTGGAGTACTCTTATGTCCTGACAGGCCCTCACCTCGGAGCTGAGGGATTTGGGTTTCTTTCCTCTCAACTAAGATTCCTATGTCATGAATTACTTTCCTATGTTATGAATTAATGCTTTGAATTTTGGGGCAAACAAAACTATTATCACTAAGTTTTCCAGTCCTCTGAATTCACCCATTCATTTTTTCTGCTTTTCTTACATGGATTAAATATTTTCTCTCAGGCTAATGTTTATATGTAGCTGACAGACTCTTCCAGTAGTTTCTTTTGGGGAGATAAACCAAAAATTTCAGTTTAGTCTTACTTATTTTTTTTTTTTTCCCAGATTGGCCACTGAAATGAAAAATGATTTACCAAAACAGCCCTAAACTAGTTATCTCCAAATTTGAACAGATTTGGAGACTGCAGCCACATTTTCCTGTGGTTACTGTGTCACACCAAGATGGTGCAAAACTTCCTCACCTCACTGTGCCAAGCCACATTCCGTTACTGGTTAATGTTCTGTTGTTTTCACCTTTTTAATCCCTGGGAGAAATTTGAACTACTTTTAACTGCAAATTTGGATGATTACAGCTGGGTTAATTTGGCTCTGATGAGAACAGGTGCTTTTAGGTCACTGGGTACTGCTCTTAAACATGGGCATATGGCTAAGTTTTCTGGGAAGGTGTCTCTCCCATACATTCCCCTCTCCAGTGAAGTGGGTAAGAACTTGCTTGTACTTCAGGAAGAGTGGGAGGAACTGTGAAAACTGAATAACTGGCATCCTTTGGTTAGTCTAACTTCATGGCGATATGAGGGGATTACCAGTGAAAGAAAGTAGTACCTGGGGCTTAGCCAATGTTGTAGTAATTGCTAATTCTGGGTAAGAAGGTTTTATGTATAAGCAGGAATTAGAAAAACAATGCTTGCTGAGCAAGACCTTGAATTTAACTCTGCAAAGAAGGTTTTTCTCTCTCAAAGGTCTCATGTGAAAGCAAAAAAGAAAAATCCAGAGCTGCTGTCTAGCAGACCTGCTTGACTACATGAGAAAGTTGTGCTGTCAGGATTGCATAGCCCAAATATGTCTGTGATTGACAGAGCTGTGATAGTAAGAGGGTTCTAGTAAAATTGTGAAAGAACCAGAGAGATCTTCCCTTTGCCTGAAAAGGTGTCATTATGTTTCCCCACCAAATGTGCAGTCTTGCTGATACAGCTGCAGTCTTTCTAGGTATGTGCTGTTAAGGTAGCTGCTATGCAAGCTTTCCAAAATTCTAAGATTTTATTTTTTTTCTAATTGTCAAAAGGTTAAGATCTACCGAAAGGAAGTAAGTGATTTGAAAGCCTCTGTTCAGCTTCTGGAAGAAGAAAATACCAGTTTAGTGGCAAAACTGATTGATACCAAACTTGAGAACCTGATAGGATCCAGGTAAAATGATGCCTTTACAGAACCAAAAGGGACTTTTTTTTTTTTTTTTAAAGACAATTATACCATCTGCCTCTAAAGCTATTTGAGTTCTCCTATATCAAAGCCAAGGTAGTTTCCTAGTTGAGGAGAAAGAGGATTTGACTATGTGTGGGACTTACATCCTTGTAGGATAACAGTAACATTGTGACCTCCTAAACACCAAAATTCAGGGAAGAAACCTGGTTCTTTAATAGTCTATGAAGACCTAGTGCTACTAACTTTTTTTTTTATTAATTTTCTAACTAATTGTGTTGTAATTAGGTGGTCTCAGCCCCAGCTTTTTAGACCAAGTGCTGAAAAATAGATTTTTTCTTTACTGTTGGAAAAATGTGAAGACTAATATGCAAATACAGCAGGCTGTGCAATCTCAAGTGAAACAGATGACCTGGGCACTGAGTAAGGAAGAGACCTTGGGATATGCCTGTCTGTAGAGGCATCTGTAGGATTGGCTCCTTTTGTACTGAAATTATTTAACTCATTCCCCAGAGAAAGACTAATTTAGCTAAAAAATATCAACATTAATAGTATCAAAAGCATAATGCAACAATAGGAATGATCCATTTTAATTTTCCAGTCCCAGCTCAGTGATTTTAGCCATATTACATAAAAAGTTCCAGGTCTTAAGAAGTGACCATTTGTTTCTCCTTTCCAAACTTTGGATTGCTTCTAAGTGAGAGCTGCCAGCTGTGGTTTGAATCTTGGACTGACTGGAGACTATAACATTTGTTTTCTTTTAGTCTCATGGACATAGTTGAACTTAGACACTAAAAATAAAAAAGAGCAGCTTATTAGCCACTAAGCTACCTGGCGGCCTCCATTGCATTTTTAAACCATTGTGCTGTTCTGCATTTATGGTTAAGCAGCAAATGGCTTTCAGAAAGGGTGTCCTCCCTCTCACCCCCAAACATTGCAGTTTAGAGAGAAATTTCAGACCACTAATATAAGTTTCACTATATCTTTTTTATTCCATAGGCATTTGTTTCTTCCTGAGGCAGCTGGCTTGCAAGAAGGATTTCCTAAGTATGGAATGGAACTGGAATATAGAGAATATGCAGGTAATGTGCATGCCAGCAGCTTTTAAGAACTGATAAGTTACTGAACATTTGCAGACTTTTTATTTCTTAAGGTTTTTATCAAACTGCCTGTTTGATGTGGTGAACACCTAATTTCCCACTTGATGGCAGCCACCACAGCAATGACGGACTGTAGTTGGCTCAAAGACAAAATCACAGTTTACCTGTTATACAGTTTTTAAATCAAAATTGGTGTCTAGATTGTGGAATATAATTACTCCTCTAGAGCTAGCCTGGAATGCAGTTAGCAAGACTGGCCATCTTTTATGAAAATATGGTTCATATCTTACTCAGTTCTTTACTGATCCGTATCATCATAACTTCATTATGTCTTGTCCCTGTGACAATACTCTTTAAATTCTGTGCTGGCTTTCAGTTCAAGTGTATGTGCACTTTACGGTCATTCAGCTCATACACTGGAGGTAAATTATAAATAAATCCCTAGCAAGAGCTGTTGAAGCTCAACCCAAACTGAAAATCTTATTAAGCAGTACTAAATTTTGGACTGAATCTCCATATGTTCCGGTAGGTGTGCCCAGGAAAAGGATATAACATTAGGCAAGAAAGAGCTAGTGAACATCCTTATTTGTTTAGCATGGTTTCTGTGGATTCCTTAGTATCACGTTTTATTTCACATCTTTGTGTTAGTACAAGAAAGGGGATGGAAAAAGTACAAAATAAAGAGATAAGTTACAAAAATTTAAGTCATACAGTTATGGATACATGAAGAAGTCTGTTGAAGTTCTGATCAGTCCGAGCCATAGGTGGGGCTTTTGAAACCATCAGGAACCAGCAAACAGGTTAACTAAAACTTCTGAATTAGATATATGTTTACTTTGAATACCTTTGCAATAGTTACTGGGAGGAGTAGGTTTTGTACCAATAAGCCAGGATCAGATCCCAGGCAAACCTGTAACTTGGCAGTCCACGTCCAGCATCGTCTGTCATCCTGAGAATGAGTCAACTGCAACTGTGAGCTCTTCAGGGGAGTTATAAATAGACTAGCTGTGTTTCAGGAACTTGTGTCTGTATACCTATAGATACATGGATATAGAAAAAGCTTATACTTGTTTTTTTGCTGCCTTTCTTATTCTTTTTAACTATTCAGGGCTCTACAGGACTTAAGTTGACCTAATTGTTTCCCCTGCCCCATCCCACAGACCCATTAGTTCTTACGTCCAATCAATTTCAGTTCCTGGTCTCGATCAGAAATTGTGAACAGAAAACACTTTTAAAAAAAACAAAACAGTGAGAATTAACATTTGGCTTGAATTGCCAATTAAAAATCCTACCAAGCTGTTCTTTGCATCACATGGGCCAAGCCATATTAAAGACTGCAGGCAATGCTCAAACGAAGTACCGATTCTGACTTCCATAATTAAATACACATCATTTTACTTCTCTTTAAAAAGCAAAGGCAGATGGAGAAGAGAGCCTCAGAAGTGCCACAGTTCCCTGTAGGAGAAAAAAAGCCTTTCCAAAGGTTCAGTCTAAAACAGAGGATGAGAAGCCTCAAGACAGTGAAGAGCTGCAGGAAAAAATCTTCACTACCGCCTTGGATCGCTTGCTGTACGAAGATGAAGATGATTTCAAGGTATGAGTTAAAGTCATCAGGTCTTTCACTGACACAAACATTTTTCAGAATGGAGCATGAACTACTGTCAGGACCATTCTATTCCCAGTGGTGCTATGGCATCCAGTGTCGTTTACCTAGTGGGCAATTCAGATGCTTAATCATAAGCCTGTGGTGCTATTTGGGACAGTGAGGTCACTCTGTGTCCTTCAGATGCTGGGCCAAAAGAGCACAGGTTCTCTGTCATACAGGCCAGCCTCCCTTGGATGTTTTGGATGCCTTAAGGCATTTCTGGTATGATGGGAAATTGTTTTGGCAATTGAATGGTGTGCTAGGAATCAGCACAGAGGGTCAGGATGAAATTCCCCCTAGAAAGAATTCTGAATGCCAGCTAGTGACAGTGTTCTATGGTATTGCCAGGTTCTTGCTTGGATACTGGTCCTTTAGAATCTGTGTTGCATAGTAGCATTACAGGATTGACATTCCTTCAGCAGAAAGCCGACATGAAGGTGTTCCTGGGTGTAAACTACAGGGGCTGAGAGAATAAAAAGGTACAGGTTATATGTAAATAGCCAGAGTTTGTGTGGTTCTCAGAGAGGGGATGGTGGTACCTACTTCTGAAGATCCTCAAACCTAGGTTGCAAAAAATGCTTCCTGGGTGCCTTTGATACTCTTGAGTTACAAAAACTTGAATACTATTAGAAAATACATTTCTCTACATCGATTTCTACTCCAAATTAAAGAAGATATAAACATGGTGCAAACTGCAGGACTGTGTAAAGATACTTCCCCATAATGTTTCTTTATTCCTGAATATTCTATTCAAACTTTCTCAATAATGAGTTAAAAGACCCAGAAAAGCAAAACAAACAAAAAAACCTCAACAACTCTTTCTGTAGAAATTTGGCTTTAGTTTTATCAATACCCTGCAACTTGTGTTCAGAGAAATCACCCTGTTGCCTTGATCGCAGACTAACTTACGGGGTGGCTCTGTCCTGAAGAGGCATTACAAAGAGAAGTTTTAACAAAAGACTTCTGTCCAGGTGTTTGTTTCTTTGCAGTCATTGCCTAGGGAGAGGAAGCTGTCCTTCTTTTTCCCTGCTGGTAGCACTGCAGAGCCCACCCCACTGAGGGCCACCGGTGCTGCTGACATGGGTGCTGTTACCTCCTAAGAATGAAGGTGCAGCTGCAAACAGTGGTGTTGCACTGGCAACCATTATGAAAGTATTGATTAAACAGAGGTGCTTTAAGAGCTTGCACTGGAGGGTTTCTTCTTCCCCCTCTCTGGTTTGGCAGTGCAGTACAGCTCCTGCCCTCAGGGAACCCATAGTGCACATCAGCCTTTTCTGTAGCTGATTCACTCTCTAACCCAGCAGGAAAACTTTCCCCCTCTCCCCCTGAATTAATTTTCTGTTGGGTTAGTCAACCAAATTGACTCAGAGGTTTGACCAGAGCCAGTGCAAACGTGGCAGAAGCACATGGCTGGGCTTGGACCTCTCTTTTTGTCAGGAATGAGCTCTTGGATTAGTTTAATTCTTCTCACAGAACTGAACTTGAGAGCAGAAATTGGTTTACAGAGGTGGTGTTATCAGTAAAAACACAGCAGAAGAAGAGGGCAGCATGGCTGCAGCCTCCTATAATGAGCTGGCTTGTAAAAGAAGCCCATTATCACTGACATTACCAAACAGCAGCTTTAGGGCAGCATCTCTACAGTTGCTTTGAAAAAGGAAAGTTGCTGGGTTTTGTTTTTTTTTTAAAAGGGCTCCTTTTCTATCTAATAAAGAATAATATTCTTTCTTCTTAAGGCATACTTAAAACTGGGTCCTCTGAAGAGAAAGCTGTATGTGGTTGGAAGAGCCGCACCTACTCATCATAAGGAACCAGAAGAAATGCCAAGCAGGAGCGACAGAGAGGATGGCAGTGTTGGTAAATCAGATGGGCACATCACAGCTGAGATGATCAGGGCCTTATTTAAAGAAAATGATGATGGAAACTAGACAAGCTGTGCTGTTAACACAGAAATGTAACAATCTCAGTTCCTCAAATATTTGTTCTGTTCTTCAAGGACTGTATGGCATTGGGCTTTGTGGAAACTATTTTTGAGTGCCTGAATCATGATTAGCACGTATAAGTTTAATGAGAGGTAAGTCTGTGTGCAGATGGCTAATTGAAAGGTTCCTTTCCTTACCTCTGAGAGAGGTCTTGTGCACATTTTGGGCTACTCAGTCCACATAGCAGCAACTGTATCTACAAAAGGATCTGAGTCAATATTTAGTTTGTGTTGTCTCCACTTGCAGACTGTCAAATGTGGGATTCCCTCTTGATTGGACACTAATGGGTAAATGCAGGGCTGCCATAAGATATAGAACTGTTACAAAATACTTAATACTCTGCTAAAGCAGAATTAATTTGTCCAGGCATAATTCAACTATTGGTACAAATTGAGTGTTGGAATGAATTATATCTGTCTCCATAAGACCCCTACTTAAATATATGGAAATAAACAAAAATTAATTTTAAAAAAATAAAACCAGCATAAAAATCTTGAAAGTCTTAAATATTTTGTTTTTTTAGAATTGGCTAAATATGTTGTGTAACCCTGTATCTTCGGTTTGTGACTGGTCTCTATGAACATATATCCTAGTGCACTGATGCAGTGGGGGAGTTTTCCACTCCCACTGTGCACCCTGGATACCCTCTCAGGAGCACACAATGCAGTTATTTCCCACAGGTAAGCTCTGATGGGTGTATTTCCTAATTAGAAACTTGTGACAGCATTGAATAATCTCATTTAAACCCCTGACAGGTTAATCAGCTGTTTGGAATAAAGCTTTTCAAAAAATTTAAAACATTTGAAACAACCTGTATTTCTATGAAGTGTCTCGGCTTACCCTGTGCTTCTGTGCAAACATTTTTTGTTTTCCAAGCGAGCTCAGCTGTTCTTGTCCAGCAGGTGTCTACTTGAGCTGCAGGTGAGTCCAGCTGTTCCCTGGGCCCCACTGAGCTCAGCTCCTCCGGAACTGTGCTCAAGAACAGGCAGGTCAAGGCGGCAGGCCCCGTCTCAGACTGACTCTCACTTGCTCTGCCATGTGTTAACAGTTCATAGAGTTTGGACCTGTCCCTGCTGTAACCCAAGTGAGTTACAGCAAAGGCTGAGGTGATTCCCAGCCCTCGAGTGTCCAGGGAATGGGGATCTGGATGCGTGAGGTGGTCGTGTTTACAGCACAACAGAAGCCTCCCCTCAGCTACGCTGCCTTGCTTTGAGTGCAGGGCAAGCCCCATGAAATGGCTGATTTGGGAGATTAGTTCTGCTCAGTGATTAGTTTAGCTCCTTGTTTAGATGCAGAATTAGAATATGGCTTATGCTGAACAGCTTTTCAGTAAAAGAAAAGCCTCTCCTTCCCACCACTCCCCAAAGGGGATTTACATTTTCTAGTGGTGTAAATACAGGGCCCATCTCTAGGCTTCTCATGGCTTATGCCCATAAGGCACCATGTGCAGGACATGTGGCAGGACAACATAAACCTTCATCTTGGAAAAAAGAGCCTTCACCTCCTCCAGTCTCTGTTTAGCCTTTTCCTTTAAGTGCCTGTGTGGGTGAGAGGGAGTTAAAAAGAAATCCCAAACATGCTAATTAAGGTACAAGCCACAGGCAGCCTGCACAAGCAACAGCCTGTAGCAAAACATATTTAGCGGAGTGTCCCAAATCCCCTTGATTTCTATAGGATTAACTTTAGGGCCAGTGTGAGGCTTTCATATGGAGAAAGCTGGATCTCCAGCACAAGACATCTGGATTTGATAAATTTGTTACTGGCAGAATCTCAGAAATGAGCAGCATGTTGTAGAACAGAGGGCTGATCAGCCCTCTTTCCTGCAGCACGGTCAGTGCTTCCAACCTCTACTTAAACAATGCGAGTTCACTACTCCAGTTAGGGCAAAGCTTTCAGGAGTCATCCTTACATTCTCAGCATTACGAAATACCTTTACTGTGTTGCACAAGAAAACTATAGGACACAAGAAAGTGTCCGTGTGTCCCCACAACTACAGTCCAAGCAAAGCCTCAGTTGAGCTGGGGTTATGTACTGAACCAGAACATAGCTCTAAGAAACTTGCACTTTTAACAGGAAGAAAAAAAAAAAACAAGTATTCCTTGGAATTAAGTTAAAAAAATACAAGCACCACTGAAGTTGCACAGATATAAAAGCTATTTTAATAGAACTGAGGCCCATGACCTGGAATTGAGAAACATTAATCCATGGAATACCTAAAAAGCACAATGGGTTGGGGTGTGCTGACAGCCTGTATCCACTCCAGTGATGAAAGGAGGTGCTTATCTCAGCATACTGCTGGCTTGAACCCTCCCTGAGCAACTTCCCTGTGGAGCCAAGCAACTGGATTATATTGCTTTATAGTCTGGCTGTGCAACTACGATCTTCCCCCAGACTGAGCTGCAGGGAATGTGGGTTACTTTGCTTTTGGTCTAGTTCTTGAGAGGTTTGCAGCTTCTGCTGCAGCTAGGTTATATAACAAAGCACTCTTTCCACAGGTTCAGACCTGCATGTTTTGGGAAATGAGGGTAAGAGACTTGTTCTGCAGCATTTGTTCTTGTTTGGCTGCTTTCTGAGAGAGAAGTTATTAAGCACTCTGCTTCTGTGGGCTAAAAGGAGTTTGCCAGAATAAGGTCAAAGCAGAAATTAATGGACTGAAAAGTTACACTAAAGACAAGCACAGAACAGAGCCTAATGGTGTTAGCATCTTTAGCCACTGATGTTTTGCAGCTGGATGTTCCTCTAAAAAATACTTTCCCTTGGATTTTGAGTCCATTGTGAAAGGAAGGATGTTTTTTTGTAATACTACACTTCAGAGCTCATGTTCTGCACTATCCTACAAACACCATGCTGTTTTAGGACATGACACGACAATAAGATGCCAACAACTATTCCCATACGTGGCCCATTGAACAGCTCCACTGAGCCACGGATTAAACTGGGATTTAACATGGTGCTGGATCTATTCCTCACTTTAATCACAAAAAGTGAAGCAAGGAGCTAAAATTGTATCAAGATGCTAAAATTGTATCAAATACTGCTTTTCTAAAAAAACAGTCCTTGGGCCATTGCTGTAACTGGCAGGGGCAAGTTCAGCAGTTACCACCGTGAACAAAGCAGAGATCCACACTATCAAAATAAACCCGAGGCCCAGTGCTCCTTGTGCTGCCGGATATCCAAAGCAATATGCTTGCATCCAGCGTGTTCCCTGTACCATTATCGCCCCACACAACAGAAATTTAAGGAAGTTGGCTCTTTGTTCCAAGGCTTTTTGATCTTCGCCTCAGGAAATTTCATCATCAGAGAAGCAAGAAAAGAAGTAAATGTGTTTTACTCACTCAGACTTATCTGTTATCTTGGGCAGGCCATCTCCCACAAGTGAAATGGATACAGTATTACTCAACCTTCAGATACAAAAAGGGTGCTGAGTGGGTGGCAGCAACGTTACACCTTCAGTGAACCTGCTCAGGATTCTCTCCTCCTCACTCACTCTCCTGATCTAGCCAGGTGGCAGCAGGCAGATCAGCCATGTCCCTTCGCTCTCCAGTTTGAACATGGAAAACATCAGCAATTCTCCTCAAAGACTTCTCTTGCTGGGCAAACTGCGTGGGAGATGTCAAGCCCGTTTCTGCTCTCTCCACGGCGGTGTGAGAGCTCCAAAGGTCGAGTCACCAGATTGCCAACAGGCCAGGGAGAAAGCTCTTCTTCAGTTCACATATGTTCACATATGCTTCCATTAGTGTTGTTTTTCTGTCTGTATTTAGCACATTTCTTCGCTACCCCTCACATTATCTTGTCAAGCTGCTGCTCCCATCAGCATTTACTATCGTTCTCAAGTGTTTTTAGCGTTTAATTCTAATTTCTCTGCCACAATCGTTATCTCAATTGTGTCATGGCCTTCTAGTTGCAATTCATTTAGGTTGCTACAAAATTCGTGTCAGGCTCTGGAAACAGGCACTTTTTCTCTAATAAAAGATGCAGGGTTTCACCCTGTCCCTTCTTCTTGCTGAAGGGCTGTTTGGCAGCTGGCAGAGTCTGTGACTTATTCCAGTAGCTGGCTAAATAGACCCTCTGATGTCACAAAGTCATGCAAAGACAGCTTTTAAACATGTCCTGAGGTTCAGCTCCCTTTAGTTTGTGACTTTGAAACAAAGAACAGAAGCAGCAAAGGAATTTAGATCGGCCTCCAGATGAAGATTCTACATTTGTGCTTTTAGAAAACACACGAAGTTCAGGTTCTTGTTCTGGCAAGAGTAAGAGTCTCAAGGGGTAAATCCAGCTGTTTTAATTATATAATTCTCTGATTAAAAAAAAAAATAAATTAAAAATACTGTGGCTATTCTGAAACACCAGTTTCCTACACAAAGGTCTAAGTGCAACAACATCCCTCTAACCAAGCACTGCATGCTCCCTTGCTTGCTAAGAGCAGGCAGCTTCCCTAGACAGAGTTTGCTCCTCCAGATTAAACAGCCTTTTGAACTCAATTCTGAAGAGGATCAGGTTTTTACAATCCCCCATTATTGAAAAGGGCCAGTAATTCAAAAAAAGCATGTCTATGTGCTATGCTTTTTAAATTAAGCTAAACTGAGTATTATTCCAGTGGTACCAAAAGCAAACATTGTGAACAAAGTAAATGGAAAGGAATGATCAGAAAAATTCTCAAGCCAGTTTGTCTCCAAGGAGTAAACCAAACAGCAAGGGTTACAAGCAAGGCCTTCAACAAGAAAGTTTAACATGCACAGCATCTGTATTAAGGAACTCAGAGAAACAATGAGTTAGCACTAAAGGATAACAGGAATTCGTCATCCTCGCAGAAGAGGTGGTTTAGCATGTTGGGAATTTTTTGTCATCCTCCTGATTTGCAACCTCAAGTCCAAAGCTGCACAAAAAGGGGTCCAAAGGATCAAAGAGCTCTAGGAACGCAAATCTATTTACAGTCAAAAGCCTCAAACTAGACTTAAACCACTCTGCAGAGAGCACCACAGACCTAAAGAGATGAGAAGTTGGAGTCTGTTTTTATCATAACCCAGCACATCAGGCTATGGAGGAGGAGGAAGGTCTGCCTTCATCCTTCACACAAACTCTGGACTGCTTCAGAACAGTCTGTACCCTGGCAGTTACAGGTTTAGCTCACAGGCCACAGATGTGCACCTTTTTTTCCAGCTGACCCCCGATTCAGATAATTCACATCTTTTATATTCTCACCACAAGCAAAAACTGAGTTGTTCTTTGAGGGCACAGTCCCACGCAGTCTCAGTGGTAGGAAGACAAAGATTTAAGGAAACCCCATATCAAACTCTTTGGACTGGGGCATGTGCATTACATACTCTAACAGCTTCAGGGTTTCTTTATTCACACTTTTAGAAAGAAACTTTAAATCTACCATCCTGTTCTGACCATTTTATGATGTAAGCCTTCAGGACAAGCCTGAGGTGGTTGTGAGGAGCAAATTTGTGTTTAATTAGAGATGAGGGTCCCATCAAACTGCCCACACCTTTTCCAGCATTACCTTTTGCTAAAATATTAAGGAATTTGGGGGGAGGGCATATTTATGCCTTTGCTCAGTTATGAACGGTACAAGTTTATTTCCATGAATATTTTGAAAAATTAGAAGACAGTAAAATACCATTTTAGATCAGGAAGAATGAGAGAACTTGTTACTGGAACTGAAGGCATCTACAGCGGCAGCCCCGCGAAGGTGCCGTATGGATTCTGTCAGTCACAGGTTCACAGTGCTGCACTTCCTGCAATACAATATGCACATATGAAATACATTTGGTATTTTATTAAGTAAACAAAGC